TAATGAAGCATAAATCAGCAGAAAATGGGGGAAACGGGGCGGTAACACACGTGACGACGGGTTGGGTCGTCAGACACTAGTTGGACCTTCTCCAATGCTTCCCGTCTGAAAATGCTGCAATAGGCTAACAATCTGTCCATATTGCTCCTTTGTAAGGTTGACATTTTGGCTTTGGCTTTCTCCTTGGGGCTCCAGTTTTTCTCCTTTTTCAACACTTGTGACTGCATTTGCTGTAACATTTCTTCCCTTATTGAACCTTGTATTGTTGTTGTACCTTGTGTACCTTGTCTATACTGTTGTTGTGGTCCTTGATTGAAGCTTTGAGGATAACCGTGGAGTTTATAACATATGTCCTTAGTGTGACCTTGTCGCTTTCAATAATCACAGAAAGGTCGAGCCCTATTGTTCACACTTTGGTTTCCGTAGAATAATTTGTTTTGAAATTCCTTCCTCCCAGGTTTGCATTCAGTGCTGTGGACTCAATATCTAGTTGGTTTCTGGGCCTAAACTCCCTCTGTTTCTCTTCTTGTATCAGGAGGGCAAATGCTTGTGCCGTATTTGGCAAGGGGTTCATCATAAGTATTCTCCCTCGAACAACCGTATATACTTCATTAAGTCCCATTAAAAATTGTATGAGTCTCCTATCCTGCTCTGCCTTATACATGTTCTCCTTTGCTCCACAAGTGCATATATAGCTGCAATGAGCTTTAACACCAAGAGTATTCAATTCCTCCCAGAGTTTCTTCATCTTCGTGCAATAGCCAGTAATATCAAGTACTCCCTGACTCAAGTCGTTGATTTCCTTCTGAATTTGGTACAGTTTGGCCCCATTCGTCTGATCATATCGATCCTGAAGCTCTTTCCACAACTCGACGGAATCATTCACGTACTTAACACTGTTAGCTATATCTCTCGATAGGGAGTTCAGAATCCACAAGGTGACCATATCATCGCACCTTTCCCATTGGCGAAAGAGTGGAGAAGTCACAAGAGGTTTTTCAGTATCTCCAGTAATAAACCCTAGCTTGTTCTTCACTGAAAGGGCTCTGAGCACACTCCTCCTCCAGGAGCGGTATCCAATCCCATCAAAAGGTACCGGAACTAGACTAGATCCTGGGCTATCGGAAGGATGTATGTACAGAGGACTCCCAGCATCAATCGTGGTCTGCATCGTCGTTGCTGTTATGGTTGTGGTCGCTTCATCAACTTGATCTGTGACCGCCATGAAGATTTTGTGAGAAATTTGTGAATAATAGTCGGAATGTTCTTCGTACAGCTGAGATTTCTTCAGTCCGCTAACGAATCGTCACTGAATGTGTTCGATCCAGATTTTCCCAAATCTTGATTATCAAAGAGATTGAATGAAACCCTAGACCATTCGAATCAACTGAAAACAGTAGAGAGATATGATGTGTGGTCGTTGATCGGACCTCCGCTCTGATACCATGTGAAGATTGAGTGAGGAGAAAGCTCCGAGCTACCTCCGATGGAGGTTGTGGAAGCTTCTCGAAGAAAGAGAGTGATAGACAGGAATGGATAGAATAACAAGGTCGGTTAGCTGAAAATTATGATATTGATCAAAAAAACTAAAAATAATACTGTTCTCAGTACATATATACAAAATGACTAATTGCCTAACTATCAATGACTAAGTAATGATGCTGACTCAGCACTGATACAAATATAAATATAACAATATTCTCAATAAAAATAATAGCTAACAAAATATATCTTTTTTTTTTGTATATATGTGTATTATATATACATATAAATACATATTTTAATATACATTTTGGCTAGCCAATGTAACTTGTTTTGATCGACCGGTCACTATTGTATTTTGCCAAACTATATATTATAATTCCCACGTAACAAATATGTTGGACATGCTGGGTTTGAGATTCAGAAGCCCAAACTGTTTAGGCCCGTTTGGCTAGATAATAACTTCAAGAGATCTTTATATAAATAGCCTGCTGGATTTATTTTTTACTTTGTCTAGCCGGTATAGACTAACTATATACGGTTATACATATATTATACATGAATTGTACGTATATTATAGCAAAAGTTCTTAGTTTTATGAAGATATAGAACAACATATTTTCGAACCCGAAAAACAGACAGAATTCTTTTATTTTAAGATGGTTAGATGAACAACTATTAAGAATTGACGATATGTTCTCTTCCAAATTTGATACGTAGAAGAATTGCTGTAGTTAATTCTCCTTTATGTTTTGTATTTTCCTTTACTTAATCACTTTCATTATTACATTTTCTTTCAAGAGAAAAGAATGATCGCTAAGAAAAAACATATATATGTATAGTAACAAGATAAGAATTATAAAAAAAAAAAAAAAAAAAAAAAAACTAATATATGATCTATTAAGTAATGTATTGGGAAATGAATATGGTCCAGAGCTAGTAGGCATAGCTATACAGCAGAGATTACGACCCAACACTATACTGCCTTAAAACTCCAAAAGGAGTCACGAGTATCAAATTAACTACTTAGTTTTCATTGTAAATTTAGACATAAGTTATCTAAGTTTTTAAAAGTAATATTTATATATTTGAAATTATAAAAAAATATATTATAAGTCATAATAGTTAGTAATGCAAAATATAAAAAAATAATTTTAGAAACATAATCAAAGAAAAACTTCTTTTTCAAAATTTATAATGGTGCCACATAAATTGAAGCACTAGGACTAGTAATTGGTATTCTTGACTATAATTTTTTATTTTTTGTTTTTCCTCTGCTGTTACTGTATTTTGCTTGAGCCGAGGGTCTATCAGAAACAGTCTCTCTACCTTTGCAAGGTAAAGATAAGGCTGTGTACATGCTACCCTCTCCAGATTCCACTTGTGGGATTACACTGGATTTTTTTTTTTTTTTTTTTTTTGTTGTTGTTGTTGTTGTTGTTGTTGTTGTTGTTGTCGTTGTTGTTTTGATACGGTATCTGGTACCTACATCCAGGGGCGGAGCTAGAGTGCCGAGAGCAGGTTCCGCTGAACTTAGTAGCTTTGGTTCGAACCTTGTATTTGTCATGACCTAAAATCCATTAATCGTGGTGGCGCCGGACACCTCGGTCAGGCAAGACAACATTAAGTAATTAATTAAACTCTCATTTTAATATTTTTGAAATCATTTCTTTTATACATTAAACGTTAAATAAGGAACTCCACAAAATAAATAATGATGTCTTTACAAAGTTTAACTGCTGAATAATCCCACAATCACCCCAGAATCCGGTGTCATAAGTGCATGTGTAATCTCTAATAAAGTACAATAACTGTCCGGAATATAAATTTGGACAAAAAGTAAATACAATACACTGAAAGAGACTCTACTGGTTGCGGGTCGTCTCGAGAGATGCAGCTCACCTAAGTCTCCGTATCATCCATGCTGTTACGCCTATTAGGTCACTAGAGTTACATGTGCCTGTGCAACAAAAATGCACAGCAAGTGTAGCATGAGTACGAAACAACGCGTACCCAATAAGTATCCCGTCTAACCTCGAAGAAGTAGTGACGAGAGGTCGACTTCGACACTTACTAGTGGTCCAATATTATCATTACAGTAAAGAAGTGAATAAGTATGAAACAAAGCAAATATATGAAATAAACATGTATAAAACACATAGTACCATCCCCCTACTTCATAATTTTACTCAAGTCTTCAGCTAGCAAGTTCCCTCCGTAACCGGAGCTTATATGTACAATACTACAATTATAGTGGTTTTCGTTAAGGAAGTTATCAGGATTCAAATCAGGGAAAATTCCTCAGACACACTGGCTTCTTGCCAAGTGTTACGCACGATTTCATGAGAGTGTATATATATATATATATATATATATATATATATATGAAATGCTGAGGCGTACGGCTCTATCCACATAAAAGTAAACTGTGCACTGCCAGAGGGTCGAATGACACGAACCAGATGCATCTATTAATCTGCCGAGGCGATCGGCCCGCTCCCATGAGAGTAGTAAAATGTGATACCCCGCTCGCGAATCATACGTGCGGCGCGGTCAGATATAAATTTCTTAAGTTAATATGATATTTATCATTTCTTTTCGAAAATACGAAGTTTAACGGAAACTCTTAAGATCTCAAATTCCTCAATTCAAATTTCTTTCAATCCAATTATTACGCAACCTTAATCTTGTTTCTTCTCAAATAAACAATAAACATAAATTAACAACAATATCAATCAAGGCTTGATGTAAGCCTAAAACTACCCGGACACAGGCATAGCTAGTAACTACGTATGGACTCTCGTCACCTCAAGCGTACGTAGCCCCCTCAAATAGAAGCACATGTTAATTATTTCACCTATGGGGTTAATTCCCTCTTACAAGGTTAGAAAAGAGACTCACCTTGCTCCGAAGTTTCATAACCGGCTTCCAAGCCCTTCCGACGACTCAAACCGATACACAACGCTCCAAAACTAGCCAATAATTATGCAAACCCATTTATATACGCTCGAATACTCATTATAATCCAATTTATAATTATTTCTAACCCCGATCAAAAAGTCGATAAAAATCACCCTCGGCCCACGTGCCCGGATTCCGAATTTTTTTAAAGATAAAGTTTACCCATAATCTCACGAATCCAAATATATAATTTACTCTCAATTTCACTTCCAAAATCGTGGTCAAAATCCAAGAATACCAATTTCTAGGTTTTTCCTCAAAATCTCAAATTTCTACTAATTTTCGTACTTCAATCCGTATCTATATCATGTATTTAACTCAAAACTAGTATAAACCTCTTACCTCATGCTTGGTGATGAAAATGGCAGCCCAAAGTTGCTCCAAGACCGGCTCCCATGAAAGAAATGGAGTGAAAAATGAGCCAAACCCCGAATTTTAAAGAACCTCACTGCCTCCAGCCTTTTCGCACATGCGGTCACTTGGCCGCTTCTGCGGTTCCGCAGGTGCGGCCCCACTACCGCTTCTGCGGTATTTCACCAGGCCTCTCAACTCCGCATATGCGGCTCTACAAACGCAGGGGCGGTCCCACTTCTGCGGACTTTGACTGCATCTGCGGTCCACTCCTTCGCCAGCAAAAATCCGCTTCTGCGGGTCACTTCCCGCTCCTGCGGTGCTCTTCACACAGGTGCAGTTACACCAGAAGCCCAGCTGCTTCAGCCCTTCCTCAAATTCCATTTTCAATCCGTTAACCACCCGGAATCAACCAGAGGCCCCCGGGATCCCGTCCAATCATACTAACCAGTCCCAAAGCATAATGTGGACCTGCTCGAGGCCTCAAATCACCTCAAACAACGTCGAAATCACGAATCACACCCCAATTCGAGCTTTATGAACTTTAGAACTTCAAACTTCTACATTCGATGCCGAAACCTCTCAAATCACGTCCGATTGACCTCCAATTTTGCACACAGGTCATATTCGACGTTATGGACCTACTCTATCTTCCGGAATCGTAATCCGACCCCGATATCAAAAATAGTCCACTTCCGGTCAAACTTCTCAAAAACCTTCAAATTTCTAATTTTAGCCAAATGACTCCAAAATGACCTACGGACCTCCAAATCCACTTCCGATCGCGCTCCCAATACCAGAATCACCATACGGAGCTATTTCCCATACTCGGAATCCCAAACGGACATCGATAGCATTGAAATGCACCTCAACACAAATTTATGAAATTCACCCAAAAATGCTAACTTCCACAATAGGGGCCGAAACGCTCCCGGGTCACCCAAAACCCGATTCGGACATACATCCAAGTGCAAAATCATCATACGAACCTACTGGAATCTTCATATCCCGATTCCGAGGTTGTTTACCTAAAAAATCCAATCTTAGTCAATTTTTCCAACTTAAAGCTTTTGAAATGAGATTTTCCTTTCCAAATCGAAATCCGAATTTCCCATATTTTGATTTCGACCATACATACAAGTCATAATACCTAAAGTGAAGCTACTCATGGCCTCAAACTGCCGAATGACGCGCTAGAGCTCAAAATGACCGGTCGGGTCGTTACATATTTGTCTTAAATTTTTTATTAAATATATATAAATTATTGATTTAGAACTAGTAACTTAAAATGATTAGAATCTCGAACCCATAAGTATAAAATCTTGGCTCCGCTTCTGCCTAATCGGGCCAGACCAAATTTAGATTTGCACCGAAAATCTTACATTATTTGTGAATATAATGCTCCCTAGCAAATGCGACTTTATCAAGGATTCGAAACCGAAATTTCTGATTAAGAATGAATAATACTTACACTCCAATACTGGCTATAGTTTCATTAATTAAAACACAACTGCCATTTCAGTCATCAGTTTTAAGAAAATTTGTGACATTGATTTGCGGACCATCTAACAGTTTGCCATCTCATACCATGCAAAATTAACTAGAATAAAAAAAATACTAATAATAATAATAATTCATCCTCAAAAAATATAAAAAGAACACAAGCAAGATACCCTCTTTTAATTTCTTCAAAGAAGCTGAAATTCTTCAAAATCATAGAAGAGAAGTAGCTAAAGGTATAATGACTACCACTTTACAATTTTTTCAATATTGATAATTATATATTAATATGGTTGTAGTTTAGCAGATTAATATTATGTTTTAATCATCTGTATTCTCATTTCTAAATTGTAGGTCACCACTTCGACAAAATCCTTGTAAAAACATGCTTTTCTCATTTTTTTTTTTTTTTGAGGTAAAAACAATACATTTTGAGAAAAAAATGCCTGCATAACCATTAATCTTTCTAGAGGTGAATTCAACATTTTGAATCACTTTTAAGATTTTTACTTTTTATATTGACTCAGAATTTAATAGTTTTTTTTTTAATATTAATGTTTCGTATTAAACATACTAAATTTAGTTGAACTCGTGCTTCTTGGTTTGAGAAAAAGCATTAAAAATAAGAAGAATAAAAAAGAAAAGAATAGAAATAGGAAGGAAAAATATAGAGTTATTTTATTTTAAAGTGACTAAAGATTTTGTTTTTTTTTTCTTGTGTAGTATAATGGGGTCAACAATGTATGAAACATCAGAATATCGAAAAAGGGTTTTCACATCAACAACTTGTACTCAGCAAAATGATTCATTTGGGAATGTATTATATGGTGCTGGATCTGATCTTATCAAAAGTGAGCTTGGTATTTATGGGGAGAAATTTTTTGGTTCAAGTTCTGCCTATGTTCAAAGCAATGTAAGATTAATACTCCATCTGTTTTATTTTATATGTTACAAATTGATTGAGTACGACGTCTAAGAAAAGTAAGGTAGACTTTTAAATTTTTTTATTTTAAATTAAAGATCTGTAAATGTCCTTAAATCTTGTAGTCGTAAACAAGAAGGTGAAGAATTAGCGTAAAAGGTTAGCAGGTAGTCGAGCGATTTCTCTTTTTTTTTTTTGGTTGGAGCTAGAATATTATTCTAGTTTAGAGCACCTTATCTGTTATTATTATTATTATTATTATTGTATTACGACTGTTGTTTATTTTGCTTTAGTTATCTTACTAATTTTTGTTGTCAATACTTTTTTTCTTTCTTTTTCAATATTTCCATCATAACTTCTTTACTTTTTTATTTCTTAAACATGTGTTGAAAATATTTTTCTTGAGCCGAGCGTCTATCAGAAATCGTCTGTCTACCTCACAAGATAGGAATAAACTCTACGCACACTCTACCGTTCAGACACCATTTGTTTGATTGTTGTTGAATCTTGTAGTCTTAAACATGCATGCCATGTGAAATATTGGAGTTAAAGACTTACTAAATATAGAAAGTAATTTTTTTAAGCATACTAATAAAGAAAGTAAGACATATAAATTAAAACAGAAGGAGTACCATTTTTTTAAAAGAAAAAGAAAAAAAGGTGTAGTTAATATTTTCTAAATAGTAAATTTTAGAGTATGGATGTTGAATTTGGATGAAATTATTGTACTGTATTTTCCATTTTCTAATTTATTTGAGATTCACAGATTAGCAGATACATTTCGAATCCTCAGTACTATTTTCAAGTGAATGAAGAATACGTGAAGAATAAATTGAAGGTGATTTTATTCCCATTTCTTCACAAGGTAAAGACTTGAACATTTTCAATATTATAAGTGCATTTGTTTTATTGGAATTAATATCATAGTAGAAGGGTATTAAGTTATTTTCTCCGTCCTATTTTATGTGATGCACTTTGGCTGATCAGGGCATTTAAGAAAAAACGAAAGAATTTATGAAACTTGTTATTTAAATAAATTATAGATTTTTGTGTTAGTTTACTCAGTTCATAAATAGAAATCCAGAAAACCAAAACGTTAGTAAACACAAAATAAAAAATTATTCCGAGCCTATAAGTTTTTTGTGCGTCCGAAGCTGAAGCCGATGTCTAGCCGAGTGACGGCGATAACGCGAGACTTGTTTTCTTCTCAACTTTTTAAGAGCTAGAAAAAGTGCTTTTATGTATAAGTATAACAATCTTCCTCTTCCTTTCCAACGAGGGACAAAGTTCCGATACTTAGTAAAAAGACTTTCAAAATTTTCACTTTCCACCATTCCCATTCGGACCTCAACTAAAAACCTAATAATTTGTATAGTTATAAATCATCTCATTAAGAATAAAACGAAAAATAAAAGTTAAATTATTTTAAAAGTAGATTTTTTTTTTGGATAGAGTAAAAAGAAAAGTGTATCATATAAATTGAAGTCAGATGATATATAATATTATTGTCTTGCTTGGGGTACATAAAGTAATGTATTTATAAAAGTCCTGAATTTCTCTATTTATTTTCTTGATATTGAGTTGTATATTTATTTCTCCTAAATATGTTTTTATATAGGGACATTGGATGAGAAGTGCTGATTTGGCTGGAGGAGAATTTTCATTTAAACCTCCAATTTATGATATTAATGCACCTGATTTGTACATCCCAATGATGGCTTTTGGTACTTATTTGGTTCTTGCTGGCTACTTCTTGGGCATTACAACCAAGTAAGTTGGTTAAAAGGAAAGAAATTCCATGTTTATATGTTATAGATTTAACTTATATACTCTAATTAAAATATTATTCATATATAAAGATGATTTTCAATAAAGAATAATAGATCTTTTAGCAAATAGCCTGAAGGGTTTTGGGTGAAGTACATAAATAGCCCTTAAAGTTGTTGGTCTTAAATCTTTGTCCCTACTTGTCCTATCGGCAGAATCTCAAGTTTAGTAAGTGTTGCCTTTCACTCATCCCGTGAGCAACACTTTTAACTTTTGACCTTGAAGTTCTGCCCGTAAAGTAAGCGGGTGGTAAAATTTAAAGACCACCTGATACTTTTTGGAGCCGGTATACATAGATTATACACTAATTATATACGGTTATAGATATTATACATAAACTATAAATATTTTATGCATCCGCCATTTATTTTTTGTTTAAACGGTTGAGTAGGAGATTATTTAGGTTAATTATTTAAAATAATGTGCATTTGTTGCATTTCAAGTTTCTCAACGGTCTTTTATAATTGAATTTAAGTTGTATGCATTAACAAAATAAATCCTTTTTACATTATCAGTACTATCGGGTGCACTTGTGATCGATAGTAGGTTATTACCATTTTTACCAAATCTGATAGTACAAATATTTCTGACATTGTGCATCACTGCATAGATCTTCTTAATTAGCATATAATCTATGTATATCGACTAAAAAAAGTCAACAGTAAATCTTGCCGGCTATTTTTGTAAAGATTCTAAAATTTCATCTGCGATTATTTTACATAGGGCCTTACTAGTGCAAATATTTTAACACCGTATATCATAAAAAATAAAAAATAGCCAGATTTACAACTGGTAATTGAAAAATGGTCACACTTTCAAGTTTCAATAGCGAAATTTTGCCACTTTTTCATGTAAAGATCTGAACAAAAACACTCTTAAAAATTCGAAAATATTCCAGCATAATATGCTGGAGTTCGAATTTTTTTTACATATGGGCTTCCGGCATAATATGCTATAATTTCTGGAGTTCCAAAATATATGCGGGAAGTTTATATGCAAGAGCTCCATAATCCTAAATATTATGCTGGAACTTTCAGTGTGCTGGAGTTCCAACATAATATGCTGGACATTTATACGCAAGAGCTCCATAATCCCGCATATTATGCTGGAACTTTTCGTGTTTCAGCGAAATAATGACTATTTTTCGCTATTTTGCGATTACCTATCTGAAAACTGGCTCGTCCGTGCTATTGTCACCCGTATATCAGTGCATAAAACTTAAACTTTTTGTGATTTTGTTGCAGATTTAGTCCAGAAGCTTTAGGTGTACAATTCACAACAGGACTACTTTGTTGGCTATTGCAAATCCTTTTACTTGAGGCCACATTACACTCTTTAGGAAGTGGAGAAGTGCCACTTCTTGACATGGTTTCCTATGGTGGCTACATTTTTGTAGCAGCATCAGTCATTTTAATTGCTAGGATTATTTGGGATTATTCATTTCATTTAGTTACATTTTTTGAATGCTTTTGCATGGGATTTTTCTTAATAAAAACCATGAAAAGAATCCTAATTGCAGAAGTTAGGAGCTTTGAAAAGCATTCAACAAAAAGAAATTACCTTTTGCTTTCCATGGCTTTGTCTCAAATCCCTTTGCTTTTTTGGTTGGGAAATGTTGGTGTTGGAGCTAAGTGAGAGGAGAGGCGGACGCAGGATTCGGCTATTGCGGAGGCACTATGATATTGAATATAAATTTGTCACTGCTCAAAAAGATTGGTATGTGGGTCTATGCTAATATTTGACTAACTTTTGGAGACATTTGCAAGTATATATGGAATTTTTATCGAAGTTTTTGGGTACTGGTGACCCCTCAAGCTATAGACCCGTCTTTGAGTGAGACGGGCCTACACTATTGTTAATTTATGTATTTCAATAAACTTATTGTTATTCTGTTGCTTTACATGAATGTAAAAGGGTTTGAGAAAGAAAAAGGAACATAAATAGCCGATTGGATTTACTGTTTATTTTTTTCTAATCGGTATACATAAATTATACACTGTTTATGCATGAATTATATACTGAATATGCATAGATTACACATTGATTATGCATGACTACCGATCGAAATCCGTCGGTATCCTTTACCGACCGATACTTTACGGTCCTCCATTTAGGTCTCGGTCGGTTTTTTTTCAGACGATTTTTGACCTGTTTTGTTAGCAAACTGAGAAACATAACCCTACCATAATGTGATTGCCAATACCGCAAAATAGTAAACATATTCCATAATATTTATCATTAAAAAACTATCACATAATTACAAATCCCATACCGAAATATCACTAGTATTGCCTTGTTCCCATTCATTACGCAGAAAATTATATTTGAAATCTTTTTTTTATCTGATATCTTAAAAAAATTTAAGCATCTCCATCTTTATAGGGTAGGGGCAAGGATGCGTATACACTACCCTCCCAGAACCTATGTATGGGATTAAGGGGTGAAATTCAAAAATAGCAATATTTACTAGTAGTAATCAAAATTTAGCCACAGTTTCATGTAAAGATAAATCTGAATGAAAACAATATTCAAAATCCGGAAAGTATTCCGGCATAATATACTGAAATTCCAGCAAAATATGCTAGAAGTTCCAGTACAATATATTGGTCTAGCATAATATGTCATACACAGGTGTTCCAATTTCCGGTATATTATGTTGGAACTTTCCGTGTGTTGGAGTTCCAGCATAATATGTTGGAAGTTCATACAGATGTGCACCAATCTCCAGCATATTATGTCACGACCCGGATTTTTCACCCTCAGGAGTCGTGATGGCGCCTACTAACAGGAGCTAGGCAAGCCAACTTAATTAACCACTCATTAAACACATGTTCCTTTTTAATAATTTAACAGCACTAAAATAAAAGCAACGGAATTAAAATCATAAGCAGAAGTCTTAAATTTAGATAGCTGAATAAAATACGGAACCCCAACATGAATCTCTACCCCGGAACTGGAGTCACATACTCACGAACATCTAAGAAGTACTAAATACAAAGTCTGAAAGAAAGCATAAATCTGTTTATCTCGGGTACAATGAGATGACAGTCTAATATAAGGAAAGAGGAGACGCCGGGCCTGCGGACGCCTGCCAGGCTACCTCGGGTCTCTCCGGACTGAAGGTATGCTCTCGTGCTAAAGCTGTTGCTGCTGCTGCTCGAAACCTGGACCTGTGCAAAAATACACAGAGTGTAGCATCAGCACAACCGACCCCATGTGCTGGTAAGTGTCTAGCCTAACCCCGGCGAAGTAGTGACGAGGCTAGACTGGACACCACATAAACCTGTGCAGATATATACGCAAGTACAATGGAAAGAAATAGCAAGAACATATCAATTTAAGCTGGGGAGGGGAGCATGCTTCAGGGGTGACAGATAGCACAAAATATCGGGAATAATGGTACGTACATCTATATTTTTAACTTCTAACAATAATGAAAAGACAAGGCAACTTTCATATTCAACTCATCTTGTTGCAGGCGTGCAACCCGATCCCATTTCTCATGAATCTCGTGGTAGGCGTACCACCCGCTCCCATTTCAATATCACTTGTGGTAGGCGTACCACCCGCTCCCATTTCAATATCACTTGTGGTAGGCGTACCACCCGCTCCCTATACTTTCAACACAGTACACAATACAGTCCCGGCAAGGGAATAATCACAACAAGTCAAACATCCCAACAAGGGAGGGTCAGCTATAACCAATCCTATTCAACTTCTTCTTGGTACAACTAATATCATTATTCAGTTGCAACATTCATAGGATCCAACAAGGGTACACAATTAGCAAAATTAAGACTCACGGTCATGCTTGACACCGACGCATGGATACTCGTCACCATGCCCATACGTCGTACCCCACACAAATCAAATAGCAATTATGACTCAACTCCTAATCCCTCAAGCTAGGGTTAAACCAAACACTTACCTCAAACTTCCACGGCCAATTCAATCCTCAACAACCGCTTTCCCTCTCGAATTCGGCTCCAATCAACCAAATCTATGCAATAATGACTTCACGTTATCAATATGTGCTAAACAAATCAAACCCAATGTCTAATTATAGCTTTTTCATCCATTTACCCCAAAAGGTCAAAAATGCCCCCGGGCCCACATGGTCAAAACTCGAGGTTCGAACCAAAACCCGATTACCCATTCCCCCATGAACTCAGATATATAATTTATTTTGGAATCGGACCTCGAATTGAGGTCCAAAACCCCCAATTTTAGAAAACCTAGGTTCTACCCAAAATTCCCAAATTTTCCCAGTAAAATCTTTGTTTTGAAGTTGAAATTATATTTAAAGATGTTAAGGAGTAAAGAAAATGAGTTAGAAATCACTTACCAATCGTTTTGGAGAAGAAGAATCGTTTGGAAAATCGCCTCTTATATTTTGGGTTTTGAAAAAGTGAAAAATGACTGAAATTCCTGACCTTATATACCCCCTGAAAGACCCAGCGCGGACCCCAAAAATGCACCGCGGCCGCGCTGAAGAACTGGAAAAATTACAACTCTCTGAATCTTCCAGCGCGGACCGCACTGATAGGGAACGCGGCCGCGCTGGTTGACCTGGAAAGCTGCCGGCTCTCTGAAGTCAGCTACGCGGACCGCGCATGGACGACCGCGGCCGCGTAGCTTTCACCGCGGACCGCGCTAAGGCGAATGCGGGCGCGCTGGAGCCTGCAACTCCTTTGAACCTGCAACATCTGTTATTTCTAAGTCTAAGACCTCCCGGGGCCTACTCAAAACTCACCCGAGCCCTTGGGGCTCCAAACCGAACATACACATAACTCCAAAAATACCCTACGGACTCATCCGCGCGATCAAATCGCCAAAACAGCATCATTAACATCAAATTAGGCCTCAAGACCCATGATTTCCTTCCAATTTTTCATAAAACATCAAGTTTAGAGTTTTTAGTCCAAAACACGTCAAACGACGTCCGAATTCAACCAAACTTACAGAAGGTGCTTAAACCATATATAAGACTTGTACGGGCGTCGGAACCAAAATACGAGACCGATACCACAGTCTTTTAATCAAATTTTATTTTTATTTTCCTTAATCATTTCCAGAAAATAATTTCACACAGAAATTCATTTCTCGGGCTTGGGACCTCGGAATTCGATTCCGGGCATACGCCCAAGTCCCAAATTTTCCTACGGACCCTCCGGGACCGTCAATTCACGGTTCCGGGTTCGTTTACCCAAAATATTGACCGAAGTCAAATTTATTCAATTTAATATCAAAATTTAGCATTTTTTTCCTCACAGAATTCATATTTAAGCTTTCCGGCTACGCGCCCGGACTGCGCACGCAAATCGAGGCAACCCCAAATGAGGTTTTCAAGGCCTCGGAAGTGCGGAACGAATAAGAAAACAGGTGATGAACCTTTGGGCCGTCACATTCTCCACCTCTAAAACAACCGTTCGTCCTCGAACGGACAAAAGAAAGAAGTACCTGAGTCGGGGAAAAGATGAGGATAACGACTCCGCATGTCGGACTCGGACTCCCAGGTCGATGCCTCAGGAGGCTGACCTTTCCACTGAACACGAACAGAAGGAAAACTCTTGGATCTCAATTGACGAACCTGCCTGTCTAGAATAGCTACCGGCTCCTCCTCATAAGACAAATCCTTATCCAACTGGACAGTGCTGAAATCTAACACGTGGGCTGGATCGCTGTGATACCTCCGAAGCATGGACACATGAAACACTGGATGCACGGCCGATAAACTCGGCGGCAAAGCAAGTCTATAAGCCAGCTCTCCCACTCGATCAAGAATCTCAAACGGACCGATGAACCTAGGGCTAAGCTTGCCCTTCTTCCCAAATCTCATCACGCCCTTCATAGGCGACACTCGGAGCAATACCCGCTCACCAACCATGAATGCCACATCTCGAACCTTGCGATCTACATAATTCTTTTGCCTAGACTGAGCTGAACGAAGCCTATCCTGAATGATCTTGACCTGGTCCAAGGCCTCCTGAACCAAATCAGTACCCAACAACCGAGCCTCTCCCGGCTCAAACCATCCAACCGGGGATCGACACCGTCTACAATATAAAGCCTCATAAGGAGCCATTTGGATGCTCGACTGGTAGCTGTTGTTGTAGGCAAACTCCGCTAAAGGCAAGAACTGATCCCACGAACCTCCAAAGTCAATAACACAAGCTCGAAGCATATCCTCTAGAATCTGAATAGTTTGCTCGGACTGACCGTCCGTCTGGGTATGAAATGTTGTGCTCAACTCAACCCGTGTGCCCAACTCTCGCTGAACTGCCTTCCAGAAGCGCGAGGTAAACTGCGTACCCCGGTCCGAAATGATAGATGCCGGCATACCATGAAGGCGAACAATCTCCCAGATATAGATCTCAGCTAATCTCTCAGAAGAATAGGAGACTGCCACGGGAATGAAATGTGCTGACTTGGTCAGCCTATCAACAATGACCCAAACTGCGTCGAACTTCTTCCGAGTCAGCGGAAGTCCAGTAACAAAATCCATAGTAATCCGCTCCCACTTCCACTCGGGAAGCTCAATCCTCTGAAATACACCACCAGGCCTCTGATGCTCGTACTTAACCTGCTGACAATTCAAACAACAGGCCACATATGCTACGATATCCTGCTTCATTCTACGCCACCAATAATGCTGCCGCAAATCCTGATACATCTTCGCGGCGCCCGGATGAATAGAGTACCTGGAACTATGGGCCTCCTCCAAAATCAGCTCTCGAAGCCCATCCACATTGGGCACACAAACTCGCCCCTGCAATCTCAAGACTCCATCCGCATCTAAGGTAACCTGCTT